AAAAAAAAAAAAAAAAAAAAAAAAAAAAACACATCTTAGTAAAACCAATACCTTCTCAGCTTCGCATCGAAGCTAAAATACTTCATAACTGATAAGTTGAAAAAAATATGTGATTAAAAGATGTTAAACGTTAAATTTTATGTTTAATAATAAAAGAATCACCTTGTGACTCTATTTCTTGCTCATCACACAAGTTTTTTTGTCTGTATCGCTAAAAAATTCAAACATCACTATCTATTCTGAGAAAGAGGGTACAATCCCTAACCATCATTAGTTGCGCTACTGTGATACATATCGTTTTTACTTTGAAATTTAAACATACACAATTATAAATGAAGGTAATTTTAAACTACCAAATAAACCATTTATCATTAATCATCAAACCTCATAAATACCGTTATAATATACGTTTAAGTGGTTAATTATTATTACTAATACTAAACGCGACGTTTTAGTAATAATAGAAATGCTCACCTATTGCGTTAGAAATAAGTACTAATTCTTTAATTAGCATAATAATAGCGTAGTAATGAAATCTAAGCAACATCATAAGCAGATAATTTTTTTTACAATACAATGTAATGTAATATGTATTGTACATTCTGACAAAAGTCGTGCTGTTTCATAATCTATGAAGTTTTTATTTATAATTTGGTAATAATTCGCCTTTTTAACTAATTTTAAACGTGATTGAATGTTCGAAAAAAGCTTTTATAAGTTTTTTTAAGAAAAACTTTTATGATTACAAGTAAGTCAGACGCAAACACAAAATAGCATGGGAGCAATATCCAGAACCGCATTTAGGAATTGTGCAGCTCGGAGTACTCAATTTTTTCGCTTCTTAAGACTTCTTTATTTTCACTAAAAGTGTTTCTCTGTATCACTAATTTTTTTTTTTAATATTATTTATTTAAATGAGAAAAAAAAAAGTCTTCAACAATTTTATTCATATTGTTAGATAGTTTTTTCCAGTGTCGCCTTTAAAATTAGTGCTCCCATTAGATTCGGTCTAAGAAATACCTCTTAAAAAATTTACACTACAACATAATTTGATTATTTAATAACACAAAAAAAAATAGGTCTTACGATGTAAAAAGTACACTTAAGAACATAAGAAAATATGGTGATTTCCCTTATGAATGAATAGTTTAGAATCTTTTAACTTATAAAGTTCTTTATTAATTTATATTTTGATGCCACATTCATGTTAATAAATACTTGTTATACTTATTCACTAGAAAATTCTCGATGTTAATAATTTAAAAAAAAACCCAGCACAGGGGGGTCGCGGCACAGTGGTGACGTGGCATAGTTGGATCAAGTATAATGATATCTGACAGTGATTAAAATCACTATCAAAAAAAAACGCTTCGATGCAAATCTTTAGATAGTGTTTAATTTTAAAAAAATTGGTGTTTTATTCCAATAGCTACTTGATCTGCTGGTTCCTTATTAATATCTCGATTAAGATAAAATATGTCGAATGAAAAAGGGTTTATTAAAAAATATTATTTCTCATAAAAAAATTGTGTGGATCCATAAACTTTTCAATAAGTTATAGCATTATAGAGTTAAATATAATATAAATAATAAAATCGAGAATTTTCACACGAAAATAGCATTCGGTAGCCATTTTCGCCGTGAAGACAAGTCCAGAGGTCAAATTTTTTTTTTCAAATTAAAGTATATTACATTAGCTTTAATTTAAGATATATATAAAAGTGTCAGACCTTCCGGAACACTTTCAAAAGTTAAGTTGAAAAAGTTCTACTTTCTATATGCATTTTTTATATTTGAAGGGGAATATTATTATAAAAAGTTATAGCACTTTAAAGTAAAAAATGTAAATTATAAAATCGAAAATTTTCACACAAAAATAGCATTCGGTAGCCGTTTTCACCATGAAGACAAGTCCAGAGGTCAAATTTTTTTTTTTCAAATTAAAGTACATTAC